TTAATTCATTTTTGATAATTCAATTTGTTTATTGATAATTTGCTTAATAATAATTATTTAATTTAATTGATTGATTCGTTAATTGCTGTGAGCATTCCTCTTGGGGATTTATACCCGAGGAATGTTCCAGACCTCGTGGTCTTAATAAATCGTGAGAAATTGTTAATTCGGCCGGTTAATAATTATTAACATCTTAAGATTAGCTTAAATAAATTTATTTTTATTAATAAAATATTAATTAAATTCTGAACACCGAGAAAAATTCCAATCAGCTCACCGATCGGTCAAGCGTCGGTCGCACACCCGAGATCAAAGCTTGCTACGCAGTTACGAACACTGGCATCCATTTTGAGCAGGCAAATTCCTTTGTGAATTATACGACGCAGTAATTTATAAAATCAACAACTGAATCATTATTATAAATTACAACAATTGAATTATCATTTTCAATATTATTTGTTACAATAAATTAATTATTTATACTGGATTATTTATTGAAAATTATTTAATGAATTTACGACACAATTTGAGATTGAAATACCCGTGGATAATTTTCAGAGATTGATTTTATTGAGATAAATTATTTGTTAATTAATTATCTAGTCGGAAAATCCCACGCGGTTATTTTTATGAAAATATAATAAATAATTTCAATTTCATCATCTTGGAAAAATTCCCCAAAAATTAATTTAACAAACGTGGATATTAATTCCGGGAATTTATAATTAGTTAAATTATTTGATGAAATTTTATGATAATATTTTGTATAATTAATAATTAATCTACGAGTAAAAATTGCAATAAAGTGTCCGTCGAATGTTCCGGAATTTTCTTTGTGCTGAGTATTAAACTCGTGGTAATTTTGAAAGAAGTTTAGGCGTCGATTTTAATCCGGAGTTCTTGAGAATTTATTTTTATTAGTCGTGAAAATAATTCATAATTTTATTTGCTAGCTAATGACTGAATAAGATTAAGTAAAAGTTTAATGTAAATTTATGGAGTTTAATTTTGTAAAACTTTTATAAGTCCGGAAAATAAAAGTAAAGTAGAGTCAGTGTGTGTGAGCGGCTTATGTGTGTGAAGATCGTGCGGGTTATGTGTGTGAAGATCGTGCGGGTTATGTGTGTGAAGATCGTGCGGGTTATGTGTGTGTGAGTGTACGCGTTCTCTGTTTGTTGATGGTTTGCCGAGTAGAGTAATTCGTACAGTCCTAGAGCGTGAGGGTCCGGTGGACAGCGCGACGTAGTTAGAAACTGCAGTATAGACGCTCCGTATGAGGGTACTGTGGGATTAAGAATTTTAGAACGACCCCTACTTGTTTATGGTTTGCCGAGTAGAGGACTAGCATTTTGTGAGTCGTGGAGTTGAGGTAGTCAGCTAGTGGTTAGTTGAGTTGAGGAGAGTAGTAATAAGTCGTAGTGTTAAGTTAGTTTTAAGTGAGATAGTGTACGTGCGAGTGCACGAGTTGTTATTTTATTTTGTTAAATAAATTTTGGGTACCGTTGTTAAATAAAAATTTATTCATTTCAGATCACCTTCCTCCACTCTCTCTCCCTGTAGATTATAAGCTCAGCTTTGGTTTCCGGTTCCAGGAACCGTGTTCTAAAATCCTGGTGGCGCCCTTTTTAATATAGAATCATTTCGTTAATTGTTATATTTTTATTAAATTAATTAAGGGGCCAATGAACAGGCATAAAACACCCGTTACAAAATATAAATTAAAAAATTAAATAACATAGAATAATATCACAGTACGATTGACTAGCATTCGAAAGATTAAATTAAAGATAATTTACTGATGTTTAATCATTTTCATTTCTTCGTCGACTTGGTCCAATTATTTACGCATATTTTCAAGTATGCCCTTTTTTTTGCCTCCAATTCTTGTACTTGAATCGCAGCCAACTTTCTTTTCTTCTCCGATAATTTTGAGCTCTGCTCAATTTTTTGTCGCTGTTTCAATGCTTCAGTATAACAAGCATGTGCATTACGAGCCTCGAGAATAAGTTTTTTAGTAATCTCAATATTTTCAATTCCTCCGTGGACAGTGATAGCATCATATATACATCTTCTAGCCACTAAAGATTCTTCTTTGAGATTTTCCATCAAGCATTCTTTATTTACTGAAAATCCTCTTTCCACATTAGCATTACCATGAGAAAGAGTAGTTACGATTTTCATTACTTTTTTGACATGCTCAGACGGTGGAAAATTTTCAAAAATTGGAATCCAAAATCGATCCAATCGTTCTTTTGAAGCTGAAAAGTTTTTCAGCAATTCTTTAACCACGGGCTTAGCACAGATATTTTTAAATTCACGATTGACTTTATCAGCGCTAACACTATCAATCCAATTGTTTTTAGTCAAGTCGATAATAAATTTTTCAATCGTTGTTCACAAACTTCCCAATTTTCTAAAACAACTTCCGGGTCAAAACGTGTAATGGCTTTTGTCAACTTATAAGCTAGTGGTGAACGCTCTTGTAACTTCAAAATAAATTTTTTTAAGCACTTCTTACATTGCTTCCGTAATCCAAGAATATTGAGTTGGCTTTAATTTTTTATTTTAGACAAAGCAATAGTGGTAGCTATCCCAAGATCGATTTGTTTAGGAGATAATAAGTTCTTTTCTTTGGTTAGATCAATATCATATATACTTTTAGCTGTTTTCATTACATCATGATCAACAATGCGGTCTAGTTGAGTATCTATTATATTAGTAAAAGCATTATAAATTAAAGGAGCCAGAGGTCCATCTGCCTGAAACTGTCAAGAACGATTTGATATCATTAGCTAATGATCGAAAAAAAGTTTATTGTGCCGATAATAAGGGATCTTCAAGCATTTTCACTATTGTTTGAAAACTTTCACAAGTTGGCTTTTTTTTGGTTTAATTTCAAGTTTTTAAATGTATACTGTCAGAAATGGTAATATGTCTAATGCTCGTTGAGCTACATTACTATTATTGAACCAATGGACTGAACAAAACTTAAGTGGAAATAAATTTGAACCAGTTATTTCTGTATAAATTTGCCATCTAGCAAGTGAGTCTTTGAATAAATAATACGTAGATTGCAAAAATTTCACAATATTCCAGCCAGTTTCTGTGATACCAGCTTGAAAAGCACAATCCATTGTATGAAGCCCGCAACTTCCCATTTCCAACATCTCTGGATCATTTATATCAGTTTCTATTAATCCTTTTAGATCTTTCAAGAACTTAAAATTGTGATTAGGTCCATCCGTAGAAATTTCAATTATTTTGTTAGGAGAAATAGGAGATATTCCTTTTAAAAAAGCAGTTGCTAAATCTTGTGATTGTGTGCGTCCCAAAATAACTGACGTTAAAAACCAGGTCTCAACTTGTTTGGCATTTTCAGGCCAATAACGAACATTTATATCCATTTGTTATTTTTTCGCTAGCTTGTTCAGCGACTCGTCAAAGCCTACAGTGAGAAAATCGCATTGTAATAGTTCTTCTATTAATATATTTTTAAAATAAGGTGCAATGGCAAATAATATTAAATATCCAATTTTGTCCCGTTGTAGTTGCATTTTTTGAGCTATTGCGCTGTCTGGAAAGAGTCGAGGAAAAAGCTTCACGTGTTTTCCAGCTGAGCGCAGCGATGAATGTGTTATAACAGCCGAAATAGTCCATAGTATTTCAGATTTTGTAACTTCGTCTTTCACAAGGAAGTGTTCCAATGGCCTGTGATTCGAAGAGTGAGTTAATGAATTCACAATTGTTGACGAAGTTGTAGGGACTGAGAATTGACAGTTTTTATTCACAGAACTTGTAGACGTTATAAGACTTTGAGATTTTGATGGTTGAGCAATAATGTCAATATTTGCTGGACTTAAAGATCTGGATTGAGACAGGAATGTTTTAATTCCAATAGTTTTGTCAGAAGCATTAATTGCTTTTTTGTGTTTATCTACATTCATGTGACTTACTAAAGCCTGTCGTCCCATATTACTCAAATTAATTACCTTCGAACATTTTTTACATAACGCTAAATGATTATCATCATTAACTTTATCAATCCAAGAATTAAAGGAAGGATCTGATAACCAGTCAACTTAAAAGGTAGTTTCTTTGTACGACATTTAATTTCACTTTGATTAAAACATCTTAACCTAAAAAAGTACGAAATTATAAAAATTATCATCTTTATTCAATCAACCATTGATTCCATTTCATCAATTCTACTTAAAATAAAATAGATTTATTTAGCAATAATTAATAATTGCTTACAAAATATCAATTTGAAGTTAAATAGAATTGTTGTAGATCTGAAAGTTGTAATTGACAATAATAAGATAATATTCATTTGAGTTACGAAATCTTAGAGAGAAAGTATATTTTACCTTTACAAAATTATCGTTAATAAATCAACAAGGAAAGATAGTTTTTTAGTAATAATTAAAAGAAAACAATTGAATTTTATTATTAAACCAAAAAAACTCATTTTTTATTAAATTTGTCGTCGACATTTTTTTAAATAAGTAAATAATAAGTAATAACTAAATAAGTAAATAAGTTATTTAATTAAATAAGTAAATACTTTTATTGAACTTAAGTAAATAAATTAAAAAAAATTTTAAGTTGAATAAAATATGTAAAAAATTAGTATCTCGTGATTAATTGGTCGTAGAGACATCGGGTCAGGCTCATTTTGTTCCTTATTTAATTTCTTAAATTTCATACGCAGCATGTCTCGACAACTTTTGCGTAGTTTTTGAGATATTTTAATTTGAAGCTCAACGCTAAAATGATACTAATTTTGTGCATTGGCCTTATTTTATAATTCGGAATTTTTAATGAAAATTTTCCCTGAAAAAAAAAAGTAGCGGGGCGGCGGGGTGGGGGTACGAACACACCATCAGCCCCGAACGCGGTACGCTACGCTACATTTGTTCTTGAGACTTCTTACTACTTACATCGTGACACTTGCAATAAATTTTTTTAACAGTTTTTTGACTAATGATAACTAAACTAATATGAATAAAAAAATTTTTAATCATTTAAAAGAACCACGTCTAAAATTACCGGATAAATTTTATAATGGATATGGATATAGTACGTATCATAATGTTGGCGATGTCAGGTTCGTTAATTTTTTTAGTTTAATGTTTTTCTGTGTATCTTTACGAGCACATTAAATACTTGGATTTTTTTATTGTACCAGTTTCATTATTTTAATTTCGTATATTGCAGTTACATCCGATGTTTTGAACGTAATTCTTACAGTTGTGGTGCACATGGAAAATTTGTAAATAACAAACCTCAATTAACAGAAGGCCATAATCACGAAGCAGATCCTAAGTTGCATCTGTACAACAGCTTTCAACAAGATTTATTCAAAGCTACACTTGCACGCCCCTTTCAATCTTTCCGACTTATTTATGATCACCTGAGTATATTGTAAGTATCAAAAATATTTAATTATTTATAAGGTCGTACGTAAAATGTTAAAATTTGATAAATATTAGCAAATGCAACTATTAAGTAAGATTATACTGAATAACATGTAAATTATAGGAATTAAGAGTCAAATGAATTCTTATTTGGAATAATTATTGACGGAATGTAAACATTGCATGTCACAAAAGATGTGTGCTTCGTCATTAGTTTTATGAGTTTCAGTTTTAATTTTACAATTAATACATTCATTTCAACAAAGCCTTGTTATATGTTAAAAAAAATATTTCTTACCACTGAACAAGATTTTTTTAATATTAAAGAAAATTTTGTTTAATTCAATGAGAATTAGCATGAGGTTGAAGTTAGCAGACACTTGACAATTTTTTGATTTTTCTTGAAAAATAAATTAGGCATAAAAAATTATTTATTAAAATCTCATTTATAATTTTTCAGAGCTTCTGAAGATGAAATTTTCAAATAAAATTTTCTTGCTATAATTTGTTTGTTGAAAATATTCTAAAAATTATCAGATGTCTCTTAATTTCAGTATCATGAATTAGTCAGTACATAACTATACATATCAGCCTATTGTTATGTCTATGCATTACTAAAAGGAAGAGCTATCCTTATATGTACACATGCATTAAGTCGGAGGCTAAGTCGCCGTAAAAATGTTTCTTTACTTCTTATTTCTTGCCGAATTTTTTTCATTTTCTTTTTTTTTGAATTTTTTTTTTTTAAACTTTGATTTATGAGATCTGAAAATGAAAAAATTAAAGAGTTGCTGAAGTATAAAATCAGCTAAAAAATAAATTCATTATTAAATTGTGCTTATTATTTATTTAGAAATTTTTGTTAAGAAGTCATCAATTAAATATAAAAAAATAATTCCATGAACAAGCTGAAGTATTTAACGAAACTATTTTTTTAAATATCACAAATTCTTTTACTACCTCGAAAGCTTAACTTATCATGAAATTTTAATAACATTGCAGGCATTATGAAGCTGCTGTAAAATATACTTGGGCCAAAATGAAACCACTTATGGAAAGTTGGCGCCGCCGTAACCAGCCTCGTAATCCACCAACACCTCACAATTTACAGCAGTACTCAGAATTATTGAGCATGCCTGAATGGTCACATTTGCTGACATATCCGCAAGGTCAACTAAGAGCTACAACTCTTCGCGCATCTGACGGCAGTTTATTAACAATGCTTTGTAATTCTGACTTTTTGAGATTGGTGGATTCATCTATGCTCTTTATGGATGCGACTTTCCGAATCACTTCAAGGAAGCCAAAAGTTTATCAAGTTTTTACAATTCTAGGTTTAATAAACGACCGTCAGGTATATAAATAATCCATATTTATATCTATTTGACTGTATATTTATTATTTGATAATTTGATTCTAAATATAAAAAGTAAAATTATAAAAATATATCAATGTTCAAGGGACGATAGTAAAGGAATAGTTTTTAAGTGACACTGTATATTGTATTGTAGTACTAGTATTTTTAATTTTATTGCTTCCGCTAAGTACTACAAAGTTTAAAATTTTTATCATAGCTATACATGCGATATTATTTATGTTTTTACTTGATATTTAGAAAAAAGTTTTGTTAAGAAAGATACGAGATTTTTTTTTTATATAACTTTTTGCGTTTCGGTACGAATGTTTATTAATTTTTTTTTTAGAGGCAATTTTATTGTTAAGAAAACTTTCATTACACGCCTTTAAAATAGAATAAAAAAAATTTTTTTCTTTGCCTTCAACGGATTCTGATGGCAAGTTAATACTTATACTGTATATTGATTTAGTTTATTGTTCATGAACTAATTGATAATTAAATTATTATAAATTTCAATTAGAATAAATCAACTATTTAATGAAACAATTATTGACTTAGGCTTTACCATTATGCTGGGTGCTGATGACCAGGAAAACCACCGCTGCATATCGAACTGCACTGTCACATTTTAAAAATCAATTAGCACCCCATATAAATCCAGAAACGATCATGACTGATTTTGAGATAGCAGAAGATATCGCTATCAAAGACGTATTTCCAGAAGCTATCCATATTGGTTGCTTTTTCCACTATTGTCAAGTAAGTTCAGACATAAATAAATAAAGATCTGACAAAAAACATATGTACAATTGACAATCATAAAAGTTGGATATTCTTTCCAAAAAGTTTATTGAAAGTATAGCTTTAAATAATTAATTAATATTTTTTTTTATCAACAGGCACTAACAAAAAGATTGGAAAAGTTGGGATTAATGGAATTAGTTAGTAATTGGAAATACGGAAGGATATTGATTAGAAAAATGATGGCGTTGGCTTTATTGCCATCAATTGAAGCATTGGAAGGATATCAGTGGATAATGAGAAATATCCCTGAGAATATTAAAGTATTGTTCGGAAGCTTTTTTTCGTATTATCATGACCAATGGATTAAAAAAACTCCACCAGAATTGTGGAGCATTTACGGCCATCTTCACCGAACCAATAACCTCGCTGAAAGTTATCATAAAAAAATCAATCTACGATTTGGTACTCATCCTCCGATTTGGAAGTTTACAGGTAAAATATATAACCAATAAATCAACTCAAATCATCTTATATTATGTAAAATAAGCTAATCACATTCATAATTTTAGAAAATTCATTCTTATAATAATACTTATCGTTTTATAATTTTATACCTATGAAAGATTTTCTACCAAACAATGTAAATACTGACAAAACAATATCGATAAACCCATTGAATCCTTATGATATTTGTTTTTGAGTTATGTAGACATAATAACGTACCAAATAAGTGTATATTATCTTGAAAAAAATAGGTTTCTCTGTGAATTAATTTAATTACTACTGTTTCTATTTCAGAGAGTTTGAAGACATTACAAGCTGTTACTCACATTGAGTATCTATCATTACGCAATGGTGAGAATATTGTGAGACAAGCTCCTCAGCCTTATGAGAATGAGATGGACATAAAGATTTTAAAAGCCTGGCAACTACTTAATAACAAGACCTTAGATGTTCCGCATTTTTTGGCTTGTGCGAGCAAATTTCTAAAAGCTTTCCAACGGGGTGTCACTCAAAATTTAGAGGATGAAAATTTTGCTGGCCAGAAAATAAACGTGCCTGGTATTAACTATTGAGATAAACTTTTCTTTTCATCGTAAATAATTCATAAAAACAATAACATCCTTTACTTTTTATTTCAGGCAATAATGGTGGTATTATTGACGGTAATTTTGATCATCTCTTAATATTTCAAGAGCTGGATATAATGCAAGATTATTGACGAAATTGCAATATTTATCAGTTCAACGTTTATGATATGATAGATAATATAATAATATATAATATGTTGATGTTCAAAAATGACTAAATATAATTAAATAAATTATTTAGATCGCAACTACGTAAGTTGCTATCAATTGCAATATTAAAAAATTAATAAATAAAAACAATATTAAAATTTCTTATTACTTACCCTGATTAAAAGAAGTAATTTGAAAATAAATTCTCAATGTTGAATGTATGTTTAGAACCCAAATTAATTTTTTTTTATTTATTCAAATTGTATTAATTCATCTTAAATCCTGTTTAACTTAGATAATTAAAATGGCTTTTGTGAAATCTTTAGCACTTTTTACACATTGTATGACATTAAAAAAGTTCATATTTAAAATATTTCTTAAAGCAATTCATAAATTTTATGATCACTTTTTTTTGTATTCAATGGAGCTTGATAGTCGACGACAAATTTAATAAAAAATGAGTTTCTTTTATTATTGTTATTATTATTTAATCTAAATATGTAATTATTTGGACACGAGTACTGTTATTATTATTGAATTAGAAATATGAATTATGAGTTATTAATACACGTGGCATCAAATGCCAATATTTATTAAATTTGTTCTGAGCGATGATAATTATGTGAATTAACAATATCAATTGTTGAATTTATTACACGAGTTAATTAATTGATTCATATCACAATAATCACTATTGATGACGCGACAATATTTATTACGAGCGATGATACGAGTGATGAGCACAGAGAGAAGTTTGGACGCTAACAGAACTTATCAGCATTCACACGAGCACACAAGTAGAGAACCTAGAGATTAACAGATTATTTGCATACCGAGCAATTGGTGACATCACCTCAGTCAAGTATGACAACAATTTGCACTAATGAAAGAATATAACGTGATGAGTCATGCATGTTTTAATACTGAATATTATTTAATCTCCTATGAATGCTGATTGTACATGTAGAAATGATCAATACGGTATGTAAAAGTGATCCCGAAATACCGGCATAATAACAATTGAGAGGTTACGAAGGCAAAAGTTATGAATGATAGTTATTTAACAGGTTGTAATATGAGATATATTGAAATATATGAAGAAAAATAATACCTGAATTACCAATTATGTAGAACTTCTTGGTAAAACACTAAATGTAATGAGTTGAGCACGATTGATTAGTAAATGATTTTTGATATACACAATGCACGTGTTGTTGAGTACAGCGTGTGGGTTTGTTATGGCGGTTGGCGCGCAAGCTGCTGTTGACTTCGGGAAGTGACTTGCAGAGTGCGCGTCAGTCGCCGCATCTCTGGTGAGGTTGAATGCGAACTTACCACATGTTCTGGCGCAAACATGTGGTATTTACGCAACAATAATTTATAAAGATATATAAAAAATACTAGCCAACCCAGCCCACTTCGCCGGACTAAAGCTTAGTTTATTTAATAAAGTACATATTTTAATACATTGTAATTAATCAATTCTATTATCGCAATATATCAACCATCATTCATCTTTGAGTTCATTTTCTTCAAGCTTTCTCTCTAGTGGGTGAAAATTGTTAACCAAACTCATTAACATACCAGTTAGTGTAACATCCACTTTGTGATGTATACAAAAAAATATCGGGTTCATCTCAACATCGGCGATCATAGTACGACGCAAGGCTTGAGCATATGCTTAATACAATATTGTAAATGTGGATAACCTGAAAATCGTATCAATTGAGAAAAATAAGAGATAATCATACTAAAATTGTTGTTTTTGATCGCAAACTTGTATTTTCTATAGTTATCACTATGACTTTACATGTCATATATCGAATTCACTTATATTCTACCTGATGTTCATAAAATTTTAGAATCAATAGCTCAGAATACTCCTTTAACATCATTAAGTAGTTCACATTATTTTTCTCGACGATAAACATAAAATATTTTGTGTTCCCGGATGTTCTTAAGCCAATTATATTTGAAATTACTCCAGCAAATTTTGTTCAGGTATAAAAAAAAAATTACGTTCAGTATTGACAGACAAATATTGATGTTAAATAATAAATGATATATTTGAAGTTAGCTGATTTGCTTTTTAAATAAATTTAATTTTTTGTTTACAAATGAAGATTAGTTATTTCTCTTATTTTCTTATTTAATATAAGTTGTAAAATAACTCACTGAATTTAATGAGAAAACATTTTATTGACCATGTATTTTGAAAAATACATGGTCGTACCAATTTTTATGACAATCGGTTGAACGGGGTGGAAGTCGATAGTTTACAGTGCCGCCTGATGGCGAGTTACATCAATGGGCATAGCATATTCGTTTTCTCCGTGGAAATATACATGGTCGTACCAATTGTTATGACAATCGGTTGAACGGGGCGGAAGTCGATACTTGACAGCGCCATCTGGTGGCGAGTTACATCAATGGACATAGCATATTCGTTTTCTCCGTGGAAAAATACATGGTCATACCAATTTTTATGACAATCGGTTGAACGGGACGGAAGTCGATACTTGACAGCGCCGCCTGGTGGCGAGTTACATCAATGGGAATAGCATATAAACCTTCTCCGTGAAAAACTACATAAACATACCGATTTTCATAATGATCGGTCAAATAGTTTCTGAGTTTATTGATGACATATATACAAACATCCTCTTTTATATATATAGATACAAGATAGATAAGATGAACATAGTTCATATTTATGTATTTGTTAAAAATAATGTTAATTAATTAACATAAAATAAAATAATAAATTAAAGAAATAATGTATTAGAATCCAAAATTTTAGGCGCCTGGCCTACAGTTACGTAAACGCCTAAGAGCGAGAGAGACAGTAAATAGTCGCTTTGCGCATACGCCGCCGAGTCGAGCGAGTTACTCAGTAAATGCAATGATTTTGATTACTTTTCTTTTTATTTAATACAAATTATAACGGGATATTATTGTTTTAATAAAAACTTTGAATATTCTTCTTTACGATCATGTAAACAAAACCTAGTATTACGTAATTTATTTATGTGTAATTAATCATCAAAGTTTGTGAAAATCGAGAATTTTCGATTTTCAAAAATTCATAACTCAGAAACTATGAACTTTAGGGAAATTTTGTAAGAGTAACTTTCGTCTGGAAATTATCCAAAATATTACAAAAAAAATAACCAATCCCCAAAAAATTATTGTTTAAGCAATTATTTAAACAAATGGTTATAAACAATTGATGTCCCGAGATTTCGAAATAATAATTGCGATATTTGGTTTCAGCGGGTCAAAAAACATACAAATAATATCATTTTGTACACCAACCTCAAAAGTTTACGAAAAGGTAATACAGCGTCTAGACTATTATAAAAATATTTTATTATTTTGTTTTTTGTATTTTATTTTAATCAATTTTATTGTGGATGAGGCGTGCACTTTTGGATTTTCCAACCTATTTTTCTCTTGCGTTGGAATATTGGACGCTACTCGTTGCTAACACTCGCACTGGCCTGTAACAAGTATATTACGCGCATGCGTCCGTGTACCACGCATTCACTCTCGCTCTGTCTCTTTCTATTGCCCCTCCCCAGGAGCGTTGGACGTTTAACGCAACTGTGCTTTCATACTCCCTCCATGGTAGCGTTAAACGTTTAACGCAACCTTGTTGGAAGTAGCATAAGAACTATAACTTCAAAAATGTTTAATTTGAATTGATTTAAATTCAATTGAAACATTTGTCGGGTTTAAATAAAATTTATCTAATTAAACAGATAATAAAAAACAAAATTAAAAAGTTAAAAACAAATTTAAATATAAAATTTACGTACCTTCAGTAGCAACAGAGCGACTCCGAACGAGGTCGACTTTATTTCCAACTAAAATAACAGCTCTCGCAGATACGAGGTCACTTCTCCAAAGTGTCTGTAGAACTTCTTCTGCTACTCTCACCGAAGCTCTGTCTGTTGTCGAATAAACGACACAATACGCTTGTGGTTCATAAGTAGCTATACAGTTTTCCGGCTGGAACAATAAAAAAAGAAAAATAAATAACTGAACAAGTTGAAGTTTATTTTAACTGTTATTAAAAGAAGAAGCTCTATACTAAAAAAAAGGCCATTCGGCCACACCCGAAATGGAAGGTAGATTCGATAGTTTCGAAGAGCGACTATTTCTGAACTAATTGAAGGACTTAGCTCATTTTAGGGGCCATGCAAGCTAATTGTTCGAGAAATATGTGTACCGAATTTCATTACGATCTGTTGAGAGATCTTGATAAAATAATATACATTAGTCGGTTGTACTAGACATTGCCTGAAAATGGTTTAACAGACTCTTAGATGAAAAAAAAGAGTCTCATAGTAGTTAAAATATATTGAATCCTGTAAAATTTATAACAAATAGATAAATATCTGTACTTACATCAAATTGCAGAAATCTCTTTCAAAACCATGAATTCTATACAATTATACAAAGTTGTATACAATTACATATAATTGTATCTTGTTATATAAAATTATCTATAATCTTAAAATAGAATTCCGTCAAATTCTATGTGAATGTATCTCATGAGATATAATTTCATACAATTTCATAAAATTATATAAAGTTGTGAAGGCGAATTACATAAAATTTTATATAATTTCATGTAATTGTGTCTAATTAAATATTAAATATGACCCAAACGGAGTGAGTGATGGGCGTAAGGACTATGAAATAGAATCTTAAACATCCGAACGTTGTCACTTTGTCCGCTCGGGAGCTAAATTAAAAATTGCGTTGGAGTGTGGAGCGGTACACAAGCTCGAACGTTATCTCTAAGTGTTAACTTAGAGAGAGTAAGGATGATGGACTCTCGCTGACTTCGGTCACGAGTAACCTATTCTATTGCTTAACTCAAATCTTATTTGTAATAGAGATTTTATTTTATTTAATTGTGTATTTTGATTCAAAGTCAAAAGGTATAATTCTGTTATTTGAATTTCATTGAAAC